TTCAATATTAGTAATGTTGCCTGGTCACTTAGATTCAAGCCATTGTGGGCTGAGTCAATTATAATCAATGAATATTGTACTGACAAAACTCCAAACAATACCCATTGAATTAACTTAAAACTAACTTGATTTCTATATACCACTCATCACATTTAACAATATGATACCAAACATACCAAACAAATGCTTTGGTTCTAAGTAATATCCTTATTCAAAAGAATTTGATGGATTCTGCATTTTATGGATTATGAGGACATAATTCTGGATTATATTTTGTAATGATACAGTTAGTAAATAATTTCTTGTTCCATATTTCTTGACACACTTTCAAACAATATATAGACAAAATCACTTTTTAAAAAAAGAAACGGCTGTAGGTAATTGCTATTTAACATTCAATATCGAGAGTTTGTTAGCTTTAAAATATTCTATCAAATGTTTACCAGCTTCTTCGCTTCTTCAACTGTGGTGCAGGCAAAGGCATTCTTCAGCAGCTTTGTTCTGAAGCAGTCCTTGAAGCATCGATTCACAATTTCTGTCAATTTCTTCTCAGCAAATGGCATTCGGATTTTACCCATGTACCTAAAAAGAGATGGATTTATTTTTCCGAGCTATGGAAAAAAACATCTTAAATTTACAATGGAAATAAACGACACATCTTTTAATTGATGCTGACTCCGTACAAGCACATGCAAGATTCATAAAATTAACATGAAACCTTTATCATTCTAAGAAAAGGACGAGAGTCCTGAATATCCAAGAAAGAATTGAGACAAAAGAGACTATACTTTATACAATAAAGAGAAGTGGTATCTAAAGAACATCGGATTTGATGACACACTTCCCACTTCTCTTTTTGGGTATTTATTTTTTAATTTTTTAATATTCTTAACCTTGTTCTTTTTTTCTTTTCTTCATCAGTACCTATTGAAAGGACCACTTGTCTACTGTTACCTTCTTCACATTTCCAAGCTGATGGGTTCTCTTCATGTCTCCTGTTAAGTTGTTAAGTTGTACTGTGAGCCTGATGGACTGTAAGTGGTCCTGCAAGGTTCTGTCCCTAAATAATGACTGTGAAAGACTGCTGTTCACTGGGACAGTGTAGAATGGGAAACCAATCATTGATTTACACAAAATGCTGCTCCAGAGTGATTAAACCCGTTTCTCCTTCTGCTGAACACTGGACTTGCTCTGCATTACTTGCTAGGGTTTCATGTTTCATTTTGTGTCATTTCAAGCTGTACTGTACTGTCTGTATGTCAGACTGTATCTGTCATTGTGTTTGGCAGATGCCCAAAAATACTGTATAGCAGAGATATGCTGAGTCATTCTTCTGACTTTGCTATGTCTCTGTCTTACTCAACGTCATAATTGTTCAGTAGTACAAGCAGGGAGCTGCGGCAGCATGCGCAGGAAGCAAAGGAACAAGTGAAGGTTTATTCCCTGCTGAAAAGAGAATAGAGAAGAAACACAATGTTTCAGCTGTGGAGCCTTCTTCGGGTGTCATAACTGTTATGTTTCTATTGTTAACTGAATACTAGTTCCACTAGACTAGATGCTGTTATTGGTCCTCCAGTAGCAGATTGTAAAATCAGTCCCTTCCGGACAGCTTGGTATTCTGGTTTATTTAGGTATTTTGTGTGTCCTTCTTTTTGTAGCATCACACAGTAATTCCAACTCTGGTAAAGATGCAAAAGGAGCTTTATTTAACACTTGCTCTTGATTTGTAGTGAACAAATAAATTCTGAGAATAGTCTGGACCTTTTATATTTAACTGAAATTGTTTTCTGGATTTATCTCGGTCAATTCAGTTCAACTTGCACATTGTTTTACACAAATTTTTAACAGTTGCAAAACAACTTCCTGTTGCCTAGATCCTATCACTACCTCTCTATTGAAAGCCCATCTGTCAGACATCTGCCCATCAGCAACAGTTCCCTTTCCCTACTGCCTTAAAGGTGGCATCTATCACTCCTATATTGAAAAAAACCTGGCTTGGATTCTGATATAACGATGAACTGCAGACCAAGTATTTCTAAGGTTTTAGAATATGTTGCACATGAATTACAGGCTCGTGTGATAGCCACTGATTTGTTTGAACCATTCCAATCCAGATGTCACTGTAATCATAGCACTGAGACTGTTCTGGTTAGGGTTGTGAATGATTAACTTATTGTGTCTGATCATATACAGTATATGAGATATAAGTATCCTTATGCTGCTTGATCTCAGTGCATCTTTTGATACAGTATTGCTTTATCGCTTGCAGACATTGTTGTTTATCAATGGTTCTGTCTTTGGTTCTGCTCTGATCTGACTGGCAGGCAGCATTTTGCATTTTTTCTCCCCCATTCCTCATGTTCCCCCATTGTTTTACCAATCCTGGTGTGCTGCTGAATTCAGTCCTGGTCCACTTGCTTTTTATTGTTTATATACAGTGCCTTGCGAAAGTATTCGGCCCCCTTGAACTTTTCAACCTTTTGCCACATTTCAGGCTTCAAACATAAAGATAT